GTTAACGGTTTTTATATCAAACGATAAAGTGGGTTGCTCTAATAAATTACTGGAGGCAGTCACAGAGTGGCTATTATTCAAAGATAAGTTTTGTTCCCGGAGTTTCTTTTCCCTAATTCTCTCCATTATCTCTTTACTAACCCTTTCCTTATATATTGAATCGTGAAAGTCATCCATTTCCTTATCTTCAGATGATTTAGGCTCTGTACAGATAGGTTGATATATATCAATCGAAGATAGGCTAACGCCAGAATTTGAAACATTATCAGATGCTTCAGCATCCTCATTCTGTGTGACAATTTGTTCATGAACATCGTTAGAATTTGAAGCATTATCGGTTATATCGGATATAGGAGTATCATTAGAATTTTCCATTTCGGAAGAGATGATATTAGATACAGAGTATCCTGCTTCGCAGACCGAAGATTGTGAAACATTAGTAATACTTTTTTCTCCTGCTCTAGCTTCGTGATTCTGGCTTCATGCCCTTCTAAATCTTGTCTTAATTTAGCATTCTCGTTCCTAAGTTCAGTATTCTCAGCCAAAAGCCTGGAGTTCTCTTGTTTCAATAGATCTAGTTCGGATTTGGTATTTCCTATTGTTTTGTATAAGACGCGGTTGTATTCAAAAGTTTATTTATTAATATAGATAAAACTGTGGTAACTTCACGAACAGAATTGCTTGATATCATATCTCAATTAATGGGATCACGATAAAAATTACTAGTGCGGGACAGATTTGTCTCGCAGATCACTTTGCCAAGAAAATTATTTTGGAAAAATTATCAGTTATACATTACACAAAAAATAACATGTGATACGTTGTACGTTCCTCTAACCGAAATCTTTATTAATGCCAGCTCTGCTGATTCTGTGATCGTACCCTGATGCAATTAATCAGCGAGTAAAAATTATTCTGGAAATAAACACGTGATTTGGACGAACTCTTTATCAAAAAAGTTTGCTGAAATTTTGCAAGAAAAATAGTTTGACTAGTCAAGTTTCGGAGAAATACTGTATATACATTACACAAAAAAATAACACATGATACGTTGTACATTCCTCTAACCAAAAATCTTTATTAATAAAATATATATATGATAAAAATACAAGATAAAATACATGATATACGAAGAAAAATCTATTGATAATCGTGTTCCGGTGTAGTGACGGTGGGACTTGAGGAAGTATTTCGGAGCGGATGTGAAACAGCTTGCTCCATTGCTTGTTTAAGCAAATTCTTATTCACAATTATAATATTTCTCAAAATCAGTAACAATCTTATTAAGGCTTTTGTACGCAACCCTACTTCCAAAGTTAATGGAATTTCTGCATGATCTAGATGGAAGTATCTTGATATCCCACTTGCGTCGTTAACAAGGACATTTAAATATATTTTCTCACCGGCTACTTGGATCCCGATCACACCAAATTGGTTGCAAAAAGGTCTACATGCAGAACTTATATAACTACTTCCATCCAATAATTCTCGCCATAATTTTATCTCATCATCTGTTTTTTTAGTAGGACTGCAGACAATGCGAGAATTTTCTACATATAAAAATTCCACTAACTTTTCATTACACCTTTTTAGAGCCATAATATTAGGCTTTTTTTCCATTTTTACTTTACCTGTTCCATCGTTTCTACGTGCCTTACTTGCTAAGCTTTGACATTCAGCTGTGTTCAAACAAATATATTCATTTGGCAAGTCACTTAAACTAGCTCGAAGTAATGGCATAATCACATCTGTAATATAAGTCCCTTCACTTTGTACACTACTCGTGGCCCTTGTGCTAAAAGCTGGATTGCACCAGATATCTCCTCTAAATTTACAGATATAAATTAGCGAAGGCTTTAGTAAAACTAAAGATATAAATGATTATTAGTTACTTACAATACGCCAAGTATCCGTTCTGCTGTTTTTAACAATTCGAATTCATCCTCCTTCCATAATTTATCGTACACGATATTTCTAATATGGTTGGGATTATCTATCTTATCAAAATTTTCTACAAATTTATTAACCCTAGAAGAAATTAATCTAGGAACTTCACACTTCATATTCTCTCGAGGTTCCTAGATAATAATAGGAATTATTTTTATTTTTGGAGAAAAAAAAGTAACACATACTATATATTGTTACAATGCAACAAGGCTCTTCCTCTATCTTTACCATAAAAGTACGTCTCTGTCTGTGACTTAGATTTTTAATAATTTTTGAAACGTTACTAAGAACAGTACTTGCGATCGGATCTCTCCAGGTAAGTTCAGAAACATTTAATCCTCCATCAATATTTTTTTTAAGAGCTCTGTAAAGATTTTCATCAGCATTGGTTATAGGTGAACCAAGTTTCATTTTTAATATTCTAACATTTTGCTCAATTTCTTCTCGTGTATAATAGGTGGTCGATTCTTGAGTTATATTCAATGCTTTCAACGCTTTCAAACTAATAATGGTATTATATCCACTTTCCATCTATAGCAAATGCAATAAGTTAGTTATGTGATCACAATAATTTATCTGTCATATAAAGCTATCCCCGGGGAATTTATATATCTTTAACAGTGGGCTCTGCTCACAATATTCAATAATCAGATTATTTCCAACGCGTGAGTTTATAACTCATAAATGTATATTTTAATCTTTTAGCTAAAAT